CAGAGGGGGAAAAAAAAGACTTAAGTAAAAACTGAGGAGGCCTGCTTCACATGGAGGAAGGCAATTTCCTTTTCAAACAGATTTCCATTAGTCCAAGTGGAGCAAACAAATGATCTAGCTCCATTTTCCATGCTATTCTTGCCCCCACAATGCTGGATCTGCCAACTAGATGGAAGAGCTGGACAATGCGTCCTTTCATTCATCCAACAGCAGCCCTACAAGCAAAGCCGCTTGCTTGAGAACATATCACTGGACTTGGATTTTTCCTCATTTTTGTATCATCTTTTCAAAAACACCCTTTAAAAAAAAAAAATCCCGGTGCTTCCAAGTAATTTTAGTTGGACTTCCTAGCAGCTTACCCATATTCATGTATATTCATGCAGAGCCAAGCAAAAGCCAACAACCTGCTAAAAATGCTAATTAGGGGAACGAGTGGCTTTTGAGAGAGAAAGATGGAGGCAGGAGGTTTGCGCTCCAGCTCCCAGCGCTCAGGCTGATATCACATCAGAAGCCATTACAATGCCATCTCGTCCAGCAGGAGTTGCTTTCCAGCCATTTCCCATGCAATCTGCTTCCCCGTGTTTGTGGAATAAATAACCACCGAGCGGAGCTGGAGGACTCGAGGAGAAAAACATCTGTCAACATTGCACTAAGTGTCCTATCACCGGCATTGGATTTAACCCCCGATTGCAAAGCCCTGGACTATTAGTGCAGTGACAGGCCGTGCTTTGGGAGCCCCTGCCAAGTTGTCACTGAAAGGGATGGTGCTATTACAATGCTGATTAACAGAGAGTGAATAATCCATGAAATGGTTACAAAGCAGGCTCCTAGCACCATGGGAGCCTGCAGATCTTCCCCACTCCATTAAGAAGCCTCCCATTCGTCAACGCCTTGCTGGAGGGGGAAATGCACCGCCCGTTATCCTCCTGTACGGTTCTGCAGAGGGGGGTGGGCAAGGTGCAACAGATGTGCTACTTGGCCTCAAAGCCTGGACGCACTGCTTAGGAGCCCAAATCCTCCAAAGGAAGCTCCCAGCCAGGGTCTGCCCAGCGATGGATGAAAACTAGACTGAGCAAAGTGGGAGCAAATGTTCAGTACGGAGCGCACCTGCGCTGATTAGGCCTGGAAAACAGTTCCCCAAAGGATTTTAGCTGCCAAACCACAGAGCTACAGCTTCCCTCTCTGCATGTGGATATAGGGAGGCAGACAGGAGGGACAGCATCTGTGCAAGGCTCGGGGTACTTCTGCCATCAGAGTGATGGAAAAAGCTAAACCCACCAACCATCGGGAAGCACAGGCAGCCAGCGGAAAGGAAAACACGGATGGGAGGTCAGGGACCTTGGCAGACAGCATCTGGGAAGCTGCTTCCTATAAAGTAGGGGCCAGCTCTTGTATGCCACGGAAAAATCCTAGTGGTTTGACTTTTCATTCCTTCCGTACTGGAATAGAAGGCAAACTTTTTCAAATGTCCAGCAGAATGAAAACCACAGAAGAATTAGTGCTTGGAGCCCTGCAAGGATTGGGGTTCAATAAGGTAAACAGCCTGTACTTCTCATCATGGCAGAATGATACAAAATATTAAATATGCGACACCTGAACCTGCAGCACTGTACTGTTCTGTAAGAGCCAAAGCAAAATAAATCAAAGCAGGTTGGCATTGTCAAAAGGAAATATAAGTATTGTAACAGGTCATTCTGGCTATGTTCCCTTGAAACATTCCTGTTTCAGCAAAACTGAATTTTCGGACGGAAAACCATTCTGCTGAACTCTATTTGGCGCACGGTGGCTATGGCAACGCGGCGATGGGAAACAGCAGTCTCTCGGCTGGGTTGGTCCCAAGACATTTGGGGACGCTGGTTCCTTACGCTCCATCCAGACACCAGCAGATCTGACTGGATCCTGAAGCGCAGCAATGAACACCTGGGCCTGGGGAAGCTACCTATTCTTCTCCATGTTGGGGGATGAAAGGCTTCTTGTAGGATCACGGGCCATAGGGATGGAAGGGACCTTGAGAGGCCATCTCGTCCATCCCCCTGCCCCAAGGTACGGTCAGCTCTTACCGGTAGCTGCCTAAGTCGCTCTTCAAAACCTTCCAGCAAAGGAGATTCACCACGTCCTAGCAGAATCACACAACCCAAGTCTGGAGCTTGAGCTGAACACCATCAAAGTCCAGAGGCATCCAGACTGCGTGGGGGTTGCTTTGGCACAACAGGAGAGACCGGAGTCACATCACAAGTCTCAGGTCTGGCTCTGGATACCGAGCTTCAGGGCTGTTTAGATCCCCGAGGACCAGAACCACGTGCCAATCTGCCGCCACCTTCCTGAAAGCAAAAGGGACTTAACTGCGTGGGCATTTCTAATTGACCGGCCACCGTGGCCCAGCCAAGACCCTTCCCCAGCCTTAACACTTGCTACGACTCTCCCTTTCCCCATGCAGCTCCAAGAGAGCGCAGCAGCTGGGTTCGGCTTGCTGAGCTGCCTTTGGTCCACAGGGATAGCCGCCCAGAGCAGGCAGGGAGCTAGCCACAGCACAGACCACGCACGTGCTCTCCGTGCCCATGGAGGCCCATGGGGATTTTGCAACTGAGCAACAGCTATTTCTTCTATAAATGCTCCCTCCACGATCTTGCTGAGTTACCACGGTCTCTGCCTCTGATGCCAACGGGATCAGCAGCTTTGTGCCATACAGTATTAGCGGCATGGTCCTTATGCAGAAAGAAATCATGTCTTTCCTGTCCAATGGGCATCTCTCTCCTGTTTTAAGTCTTCAGCTTATGCGACGATATCATTATTGTGCTGAACTTCTCTGCTAATGAAACAGACCCCTGCTGAGGGCGTCGTGATGTGATCTGACCCCGGTTTCTAAGATTCGAAGCCTCTGCAATTCTGTGATCCACCAAACATCTCCGCCACCCCCCCATTTCCGGCAACGCGCAGTGAAATAGCTAAAATCCTTGTGAGAAACGGAGCACTAATCAGGCCGGTGAGGAGGGGACCAGGGAGAGACTCCAATTACACCAACTCTGCATATTCTCTGCTCAAGTACCTGGTAAATCAAAGCAATGTAACCACCTCGCGGTAGGACCAGGCAGCCGCAAAAACGAGGAGAATTACAAATGCCATTGTTAGAGGAAAATGAGCGTGAACTTACCAGCCTCCCAAACAACATCCGCTTGGTAGGAAAAATTCATATTCGTTAACTCCTGTCTCGCCTCCGGCGTCTTGGCCCTGACTGACAGGAGCGCTCCAGACAAAGCCATTAATCCTGCCTGTCTCCTCCGCACTAAGGCAGACATCTGCTGATTCTCGCTCCTAATACATTGCTCAAAATTTACCTACCCACAGATAAGGCGGTTATCTACCTCCATACAGGCCTCTCAGGTCCCCTTCACCGAGCCTGAGGCCGAATCTCTCTACAAAGTTTTCCCAGCGTAGCGAAGGGTGTGAAACCACCCCCCTGAGCCTCTCTACAAGGCAGAGAGGTGCCAGCAAAACGCGTGGCATGGATGCAATGCTACCAAAGGAAGGGTCCTTTCAGTGGCTTTGCTTTTGTTGCATCAGGAGGAGATGCTTCCTACACTGGCTGGGGGAGAAAGCTGCCTCTCTACTAGGGGTCCTGCTGGTACCCCGGCCTACATTTACACCAGCCGTGTTACACGCACAAACACTGACCCACCAAAGAGGAAGACAACTCAGCAATGAGGGAGAAGCCAGGAAGGGGCAAAGGGACCGTGCAGGCTGCAGTCATGACTGTGACTGCCGAATTGTGTCTGCACACCCACGGGCTTGTTAAGCTGGCTCGCCGTCTAGCTGTGCCCACAGGGATTTCTGCTTGGGCTCAGTGACCAAGTACCAACTCTACTGCACAGGGTTTTGCTGGAGCTCTGCAGGGCCAGGACTGGACTCCTACCAGGACCCAAGCCGGGCAGCCCAATGCTAGCCCAGGCACCCAATAAAGATGGCAGTGCAGTACAAGAGGGATTTCGGGTGACTAAAGGACAAGAAATATTGCACCTCAAAAGCCACAGGCCACTTTTGGTGTCAGCTCTACCCTAAGGGGACCATCAGCATCAGCCCAAAAAGGTGGGTAAATCGGAGGTTATACTGGAAGGGATCAACAACTAACAGAGACAGCTGGTCCTTGAAGCATCAGAGTCCTTGTCAAGGACAAATATGATGTTTCTCATTCCAAATTCAGCTGTTTCACCAGTATAAAACAGCATCTCCCCAATGGCTTTAGGGGCATTGTGCATTTGCATGGGCGCAGGTAAAAAGATTGAGCTCAGCTGCGTCAGAATGGCTTGCCCAGGTTTCAGATAGAAAGGGGCAAGACAATCGTGCGAGAAGACAGGGATCCTTTCCAACTCAGCGTTTCTTGCAGCAGAGTCAAAGCAGCTCAGATCAGTTTTCGTGAGGAGGAGAAGGATAGGAAACCAAACCCCCCAAACCTGCTTAAATCAATCCCTCCACTCGTTCAGCCTTGGCCCGTTCCCCATCCAGCCACGCGATTGCTCCTCTGCAGCTCACACCATCGGGAGCAGGTTCTTTATCTTTCTCTCGTCAACTCTCTCGGGTGGCATGCACTGACACAGGACTTTCTTGGCATCCACAAGGCTATGTCAACTGACACCCACCGGAGGGCCAGCCTGTCATCTCTCTCCAAGCCTCATCTGAAGGCCTCTCTTTTCTCCCTCGTCTTTGCCTGTTCATTTCTCTACCTCTTCTTTAATAGGGTCCTTAGTACTTAAATATATAAGCATCTGGGGATGCAGGACATGCACATTATAGTCTGCAATTCTGCTCATTAGCTGGTGAACGGCAGGACAAAGCAGAGGCATCTGGGAAGACTGCCAAAGTCGTGCGGAAAATACCCAAGTTGTTCAAAACATCTGAGCGGTATTTGCAGTGGGTTTTCAATGCCTTCCCTCCCAAAGCCCCCCAAAATGCCTGTGGTAGCAAGCAAAATACAACAGGCCAAAAAAAGCAAGCAGGATACTTACTGCTCCTTTTCACTGCAGGACAGCACAAAGAGAGAGGGAGAAAGAAAGAAGGAGTAAAGATTAGGTGAGACAAGCAATGGCAACAGCTCCTTGCAGTGGCTTTTGGTTTTGTTGGTGATTTGTTATGGACAACTTGTCTCTCTCCAGAGACAGCTCCCAGCTTTGGGAGACTTTAGGTCAAGGCCATTAGGAGCCATAGTCCCATCTCCAGCCATTACCACGTACCCCAGCCCTACTGTAACCCTCGGCCACCCCCGGCTCCGGGAACAGGCAAAATTTCAAGCGCACGAGGAAGACATGGGAGGGTTTGGCCTGAGTGAAGTCTGTGGGAAGGAGGAGCACTGCAATGAGGGACCCAAAGGCCCACTTTTCAATGGTCCAAACACATCACATAACTGCCTACTGCTAATTTAACCAATAGGTTCACTGCTACCTTGCTTTCCGCTGCCTTCCCCATTTGCTTACTGTATCACCCGCTGGTCTCTTGTGATGTGACAAGGCTCCGGGCCTGCAATGCGTTGCATTTGGGCAGCATGCTATGCCCTATTGACTTTAAGGTGGTCTGAGAGGGCTCAGCACACTAGCTGTGTATAACCGCTGGTAGGATCTGGACTCATCACCTATGCTTATGGGTCAGGACAAATCTTTGTGACATGGGTGTACAGGTGCTCATGCCACACTGTCCCGATCACCCATTGAGGTCTGGAGGGACTAGAACGGTACAAAGAAATAACAGCAATCGAAGGACTCTTCCTGCATGAGAAGTAAAGTAAAACTCCAGAAGGGGAGGCAAGATATAGACTGTTCCTCCCAGTATCTTCATTTCTCATTCATTATTGTCTCTAAGCAAACCTTTCTGTCCTTCCAGAGGCTGGTCTTTTGACTGCAGTAAGACTTTTCCATGACAAAGTTCACCCCAAAATCTACCCTAGTTATTACCAAGTTATCCATGCTGTTCTTCCAGCTGGACGTTTTCAATGTGAAAAAATGTAGCATGAATCAGCATTTCAGTTATCAACTCACTTTTTTAATGCTTCAGAACAACTTGGCTAGCAAGGCCAAGTTGGTCTTGGGAAGAAATTTTGGCCAGGGCTATCCTAGCCTGAGGAAAGCTGTGATTAAAGCCATTCACCATTTTCTTTTGGCAACAGAACGAGCGTAGCATTTTTCCCCGAGGAAATGAAAAATCAAGTGTGTTCAACGATGTCTCTTGCATGACTCTTTGATCAATGAATTTGCTACACAGCACAGTCAGCCCCACTAACATCTATGAAATATAGACACTAGAGAAGCCAATCATTTCTACAGCTCTAAGGGAGACACTGCAAATACATATTAATTAAAATTACTTGGATTTCATTCCACAGCAAATGGATCAGTGCATTATTTACCAAAGCTTAATAAATAAAGTTAACGAATGTTGTTCAGAGCTGTTTAGATGCATCAAAACGTGGTGTTCAATAAAGCCAGAACACCAGTAACCAAGCTACTAGCAACGGAGGGAGATTTTCCCAGACACCTCAGCACAGAGAGGGCCATGGTCTCACCCTAGTAATATGGGTGCAAATCCAGAAGGGCACCATCAGTCTCACAAGGTGCAAATCCAGAAGGGCACCATCAATCTCATGAGGATGCCAGGGTGATGTGCTTAATATAAGCTCTGCCTTGACAGACTAGAAACAGAATATACCCCATAAAGCAGCATAGGAATCCCATTTCATTGGATCCTTCTGATTCATTTCTTCAGCAATATGTTTCTCTAAGCCATGAACGTTTCTAGACTGACCCCCCCAAAAAGGCAAGCTTCCCCTTACTTGGCTCGGAGAGACATTGCTCTGTCGTTTGGACACATCCACCGATCAGTACTGTTGCCAAACACTGTATCTGTCATCGCTGAATCTTGAGGCAATCTGGAAAAAGAAACAAGAGTCAATAAGTCAGCAGCAAAATAACCTGATAGAGAAGGAGGCACCAATATTTTGAGGGAGAGTCCAGGAAATCCATGCCAGCCACGATATTGTCCCACTGAACATATAGATAGCACTGATGTGCTTTCTATGACTCTAATCTACCGTACATCTCACTTTGGCACATAAAAACATAATTTAGAGCTGTACTGAAATGAAGCCTGCAATGCTAATTCTTCCATAGATCTAAAAACAAGGGGCTTGAGATCCTGTTCGTACAGAACGATTTTGGTTCAAATGGCCTTTCTAACAAGTACATGACACTGGGTTTTGCACAACTAAGACACTGCGTTGTAGCTTCTGCCCTGTCACTACAGCCAGTTGCAAGAAGGAAACTGTTACCGTTTTCATTTAAATAAAGGGCAAGGAAAAAAGAGGGGTTAAAATATTGGGGTCTAAGTTTCTTCCCCAAAAAGCAAAGGAGAGGAAAGAGGCAGAATACTGATTTCCTCCAGAGTAGAGGTAACATGCAAACACACCAGCGCAGAAACACCTGTGGGTAAGAGTATTCAGGGAATAGCGAATCCAAATGCCCACTATCTAACCCATTATTCCAGAGCACACGAGGAAATGTATTATCCATTTTGTAAAAAAAAGTCCCATGATCTTATTTTTCTCTGTTCAGAAAAGCATGAAAACAAAAACACACTGATCTTCCCCAAGAAACAAAAAGTGTTTGGGTTCAAAGCAACCCAAGTCCAAATATTTCATCCCTGCTTTCAATGGTTGGTCGTTTTTCTAGCTAGAAAACGCCATGGCTTTTATTTTCGTTTAAAAGAAAACAATCACTCCAAAATAAAGAATAGATGTGTTCTGCTCTGAAAATGTTGAATCCCCATGTTTGGACAATAAAGAAAAAGAAACGAAGCATTCTGGTAAACAACAGTTTACCAGAATAGCCTGGCCTTTTCAAGGAAGTAGGCATGTCTCGTTAAAAAAAACCACACACACAATTTTTCTGCTTTCACAAGTTCGACATTCATTTCCTCTTTCCTTGAGCTTTCCCTGCGGACAGCCCTGCCAAACACTTGCAAGAAACACTTATGAAGACAATGCAATGTAATTTGCCATGTGCTCAGGTAATGACATAGGACCGCTAGACTCACTCCTCTGGAAATGCAGTCATAGACTGACTGAAATGACCTCTTCCTGTTGATCTTTTCTTTCCAGACACCCACCCTCTCAAATACAGCGCCATGTGGAGGCCCTGCTGTGCCAATATGTGCCCCCTCCTGGGCTAAAAGCAAGGCTGATGTGAATCAACAGCAGTCTCCTGCGTAAGGTGGCAGTGGGTCAATATTCACCTGCCCACTGTCAGGTCTCCATTAAGCCAAATCAGGCATCACGTGAAAAATGGTGTCATTCTGGCAGAAGGAACAACAGGAGAGACCAAGGGATGGTTTTACCCTACCGTGCCAGTCGAGAGCCAGTGCCTGGACCAGAATAACGTGAGCACAGAGACGAGACGTATACAAAACCACATCTATCGCTGCTAACACAGCAATAACGTGACCTTTGTTTTGGACTGCTGGGTCATTTGAGACCAAAAAGCATGCATCCTTCAGAAACCAGCTCATTGAGTGCAATCCCACATTGGTGCCAGGGCTTGGACGAGGTGTCCTGCAATATCCCTTCCAGCCCTCAGGTTCTCACTTAAGGAGCTCATTCCCAAGCAGCTCCTAGGCCCCTTTTTTTTTTTGCAAGCTCCTTTCAGAGACTCAAGTGAGGGACAGCCCGTCTCTTTTCATAGTAAACAGGCACTATTGGAAGTGGCGTGACTGGCGGCCGGATGGCTCAAGGGCGTGAGTGATTCACCGCAAGGGAAACAGCTGTTAACGTGGGAAAGTCAAATTGGAAATGACAACTGGGATTTACCCACCCAAGGTCTGGGCTGCTCTGGAGCACTTTGATTCACAGCAGGTTGAAATCACAACTGCAGCTACATCCACCAGCCTTGCAGGTATCACCCCACTGGAGAGGGCCACTCAAGTGGCGTGCAAAGGCCACAGCGCGGGCCTGGAAAATAGGAGCAGAGGGCCAGGAACGCAGAGAGGTGGCTCAGACAGCCCTGACATGTACTTGGGCTCCACAAGAGTGGAAACAACACACACCTCTCAGTACCTGTGCAATGTATTTGCATTCCTGGTTTCTGCAAGGTTTTGCTCCACCTCTTCAAGCCATTTAGGGAGCTGAAATAACACAAAAGCCATTCTCTGCAAAGCACCCCCACCACTCAAATAGACACAGCATACGACAAGCAAATTCTTTATCATCTCAGCTTCACAGAGGCTTGCCTATAAAGGGAGAAAATAAAAGGATAGATCCTCTACCTATTCTGCTCAAATGCTGACCCGCGACCTATGGAAAGCCACAGGGCAATAAAGAAGGGAGGCACTCCAACTTCAGCCTACAAGAGATCCTGCATCAGACATCCAGATTTGTTCTAGCTCGTGCGTGCGTGTACGTGCACATGTGTTTACACCCATGTGTGCATGCATGCATGCGCGCGTATGTGTGAAACAGAGCCTCGCAAATAAGGAAGGAAGATGATACAAGGATGTAGAGATTAACCAACACCCAATAAGTCATCCCAGCGTTTGCCGGTTCGTTGCCCTTCTCCGGGGGAAGTGCCAATTGATGGACATTTTGTCAATAGGCAAGCGAAAGCCACCAAGGTAACCTGGGCCAGCTGGTGGTTCTGGCACAGGCGAGCATTTGACTCAGCAGGTTTGCACAATGTAGATGCAAGTGAGCAGGGAAATAACATTAAGGAGGTGCCCAGCGATCAGTGGGCATCGGAGAGGGCACACAAGGGCCCTGCATTTCACTGTTCATGGGGAAGCTGTCAGCAGTGGCAGGAACCCCCTTTTATCAAGCAATTCTAATACATATCTCCAATTTAATTAGTCTATAAGATGCAAATCTACCCTGCCTTCTGCTTGTCAGAAAAAGCGGCAATTCCAGTGCCGGGATGTTAATCACAACTCTTAACGCTGCTGCTTCATGGCAGGCCCGTCGAGTTAAAAGGAAACTCTATCTGCCCCGCAAAGTACACGCAGAGGCTGCATCTGGCAATGACTGGTGCACAATGGGTGTGATGGATACACAACAAAAAAACAAAAAAACAGTAGGGCATCTATGAGCTGGGACAGTCTCTTTGCTGTCTGCACAGCACCTGAGCAGGAAAGATGCTCCAAATCAGGGTTCAGGAAGATTAAAAAAACCCAAACAAACCAGCAAGTCATCTCTGACGGGGTTTGCTTTGCTGCAGTCCTGAGACCAAAAGGCTCCAGAGTGGATTCAAATGCTTCCTTTCCCTAAGAAAATATTCTGTGGGCACTCAGGACCCTAAACTGACCCTCGGAGCAGGAGCTGAAATAGCGCCTTGCTTCCAGACGTGTTACGTCAGACCGCTGTCTCCCCCACCGCGCTTCTCAGAAGGCCGTTGCTGGCATCAGGCGATGCGCTGGGCTCGCGGCTTCCCAGCTGCACTCGCTGTACGGTCGCTGATGCCTGCATAGCTCCCAGCCCCTGCATTTGAATTGCTTTCCCCCAGCTGCAGCAGATAGAAATCTCTGCAGAGCCCCCGTCGGCGTGGGGAGGGGGAATGGGGCTGGTGCACTCGCTGGCTGCAAATCTCATCTCCAGCCTCACAACTAACCAAGGAAGACACTGTCTGTGCCAACAGCATTCGCCACGTGCCTCTCGGCTCTGCATCACCCATTGCATCTGGCGCTAGCCGGCCCCATCTCTCCAACCCCATCCCTCCAGCCACGTGGAGAGATGCTTACAGGGCTGCGGAGGAATCCCAGCCACCTCGTTTCCTCCAGGACCCAGCTTGCCAGGTGGCTTTAATCCCAGCCACCCCATCTCCCAGTCCCCATCGCAACACAGGGTCTGGGCAGCCCATGATGAAGCTTGTTGTGTCGCTCCAGGGAGACTGTGCCCCTTGCAGATGCTGTCCATGCCGTACGTCCTTCATCAGCCACCCGGGAACAGCCTCGGGGTCCCATCTCTTAACAGACATGTGTGAATGTCCCCTGCGGGTCCGGCTCGGTGGAGCCACACCGTGGCTGCATGCTCGTCCGTGCTGTGTGGGCCAAATGCTTTACCCACTGCCTCCCATACATCTCTGAGCGTCAGAGGGGCCCGGGTCTCACTAAGAGCAGAACTGGTCCCTTTGGGCTCCATCCTCCGTGCCATTCAACACCACACACATCACAGCGGGCATCAAGCCTCTGAGTCAAGACCTGCCTGGGCCATCCAGGGGCAGCCCCCCAATTACCCCACTGACTCCACTACACTTTCACCCATCCATCTGACCCATGCCCGGAAAGGCCCCGGATGTGCCCTTATACCAAGAGGCAGGGGAAGTTCAAAGGTTGGGAAGACACCCATGGAGCTAGCCTCCGTGGGATCAAGGGCTTCTCTGATACCTTCTGGGGCAACCCAGGCCATGAGCCCCCCCAATTAAACCACTACCCAGGCGCAAGGACCAGACGCAGCATGGAAGAGACACTGACACAGGTTCAGCCCGTGAACAAAGCTCCATCGCTGCAAATCAGCCTACCTAAAGCCCGCTCCCGCTCCCGCTCCGCCTCTCTCAGTCTCTCTGACCCATCGTGGCTAAATCACTAAACTATTAAAAGACATTTAACTTCCTCAACAAGCCAGGCAGCTCCATCCACAATGACCCAGGTCGCCATACCCCTGGTCTTTAGTGGCACTTAAACGAACAGCACGAGCCCCCGGCTGCGGCTGCTACCCAGCGCGGATCTGCTGTGCCATCACTGGTGCGGGGCCCAAGCAACGCTTCAGCTGCAAGATGAGCGCCGGGGGGCGAACCTGCCGCACTGAACGCGCGCCGCTCGAGGCAGGCTACAGACATTAATCGTCGCCCAAGGAAACAATTCTCACAGAGGTAAATTATGCAGTGAACAG